AGTCGACTGTGTCAGATTGCGGGATACGCCTACAGAGGGAGCATCTTACATTTGTGTGTCAGAGTGCGAGAGAAAGATTCTCTTGATCTACTACAAGGATTTCAATAGGACCGTCGCAGTTTCGGAATGGAAGACGGTTACGACAGCCTTGAGCCTTCCTTCACCTCACCTGAACCCTTAGACGCAAGCGGAGGAGACATAGATGCTCTATGCCAAACATATTTCACTAACGTTGATTTCTATTCCACGGAGTATAATTATCCACAGAAGACCATGGAAGCCAATACCTGGAGAGCTGGGGTTAGTATACTTTAGTAATTAGTTTGGATGGATGTGTGATTTCTTATTTTTAGTAGATCCGTTTGGAGAGATTGTTAGATATAGATAAATATATACAAATAGATGTTCAAGTTAAGCCAGATTTGTTCAGATAACAACACTGCACATTTAATAGAGGACTTTGGTTACTCGACTACGAAATATGAATATTTGAGATTTAACATTTCCAGTTGCAGGAAGACGGAATATGCGATGATTACGGCGCTGCGGCCTCCTACTACGACGTCAACGACTGGAAGCTTTCCGACGAAGCCCTCCACGACCTGGAGCCCTTCCTGTTGGACGAGGGAGTGTGGTCTGCGGATCAGGGAAATAGTTACAGTGCGCTGACCTACGAGGCGTCGGACTATGACCTGCCGCTTCAGAATTTAGATAACCTGGCGCTGGAAGACGGGCCTTGCGACGGTGAGTGGTTATTGAAGCAGCTCAATTTCAAGGGTTTTTTACCTGTTTTTCTCCATTTTTTAGAGGGAAGCAAAACCAATATGTGATCTGTTGTTGGGTATATTTTGGCCTTGAGTAAAACCCCAATGTGCAGACCATTCATTCACTTGTTGCCTTCTTCACTATGATGGTTGGCAACTATGTTTCCCAAGCAGTTTCATTTTCAGCCTTTTATTCCATATCTTTGCATGGAGGCTATTACATACAATTACGTGTAAACAATACAGTTCCTCTAAGCTAATAATCAAAACCCTAGGTATCGGTACATGGACTAATGAATGCCTAAAATACATTAACAGGATCCTTGGGTGAGCCTCAGGATCATCAACCATCCAGTGCACTATATTCGTCCCCAGAGCAACTACATTCTCAAAGTGAGCAGCTCCTGTCACAGCATCCCGACGTCCTGGAGAAGATCCCTTCAAAAAGAAAACGAGGTAGGCTATGCTTCACGAACTGAAACAATATCAACACGAACTGAAACAAATCCACGTAAATGAATAGCATATGACGGATTTAATAACTTTTTGCTTTCTTCAGTTCGAGGTCCCAAAAACTGGGAGTTCCTGATCAGGCTCCTGGCAGACAAGCGAACGAATCCGTCTTTGATTCGCTGGGAAGATGAATCTACGGCGACCTTCCGCCTGGTCCAGCCTGACAAAATCGCGCAGTTGTGGTCCAAGCGGACGCCCGATTCTCCTCCACTAACTTACAACAACTTCGCTAGGGGCCTCAGGTAAGTGTCTCTAAATATCGGCTAATCTGGTACCCTTGATTCGTCTAGAGTATAGATAGAACTTGTACAGTTGCGGCCATTTCTAACTGGTACACCACAAGTCTGGAGGTGACAATTTTTATCTGGGTATACATGTGTAGTATGTAGTATTCCGTGAGGGAGGGACGTAGGTCCGTAGTGATGACTGTGATTGGTTGAAATTATTTTACAAATATCTACAACAGGAAGGAAATCCGACTGAGGAAATTCTATCAGAATATAACCATTCAAATTACAAAACAAGAACAAAGTGACATTTATCTACAAATGATGTCTGAAAAAAACAATATTTCATAGATCTGACAATTGCACCTAAGCAATATTTGCCACCTGCAGTGTAATTAATGAAACTAAAATTGTTTTATTTCCATTAAGTAAAACTATTCATGATTAGATAACTATAGTTTAGATTATAAAAGTCAACAAAATAACTGGCGAAAGGCACAAATTGATTGTATGTCTATGTGTATATATATATATATACATATATATATATATATATATATATATATATATATATATATATATGTATGTATGTATACATATATATATATATTGTGTGTGTGTGTGTATGTGTGTGTGTGTGTGTGTGTGTGTATGTGTGTGTGTGTGTGTGTGTGTGTGTGTGTGTGTGTGTGTGTGTGTGTGTGTGTGTGTGTGTGTATGTGTGTGTGTGTGTGTGGTGTGTGTGTGTGTGTGTGTGTGTGTGTGTGTGTGTGTGTGTGTGTGTGTGTGTGTGTGTGTGTGTGTGTACATTTTCAGTGCAATTTCAGCGCTTTTTGCTGCTCTTTTCGAAGCTTCCTATGCCTTTCAGACCTCAAGGTCGGCACTGCAAGATTTCCACAGTCCAAGTAGTAATTTCAAGCGATCATTTATTACATATTCCGTAAGACAAATAAAAACGTCATACATCTTGCTTCTCCTAAAATTCAGTGTTTCGAG